CTTACGCTTAAAGACATGACCCCTTGTCCTATCACTCCATGCCCTTGTAAACAGTCCCTCTCCAGCTTTCCTGTAGGCCCCTTTAGATACTGGGAGGCTGCAATTACGTCTCCCCAGAGCCTTCTCCAGGCTGAGCAACCCCAACTCTCTCAGCCTGTCTCCATAGAAGAGGCGCTCCATTGCACTAATCATCTTTGTGGCCTCCTCTGGACTTGCTCTAGCAGTTCCATGTCCTTCTTGTTTTGGGGACCCCGGAGCTGGATGCAGTACTCTAGGTGGAGTCTCACAAGAGCAGAGTGTGTGGGGGGGAGAAATCCCCTCCCTCGACCTGCTGGTCATGCCTCTTTTGATGCAGCCCAGGATATGGTTGGCTTTCTGGGCTGCAAGCGCACATTGCTGGCTCATGTTGAGCTTCTCATCAATCAATATCCCCAAGTCCTTCCCCGAAAGGCTTTTCTCAACCCGTTCTCTGCCCAGCCTGTATTTGTGCTTGGGACTGCCCTGACACGTATGCAGGACCTTGCACTTGGTCTTGCTGAACTTCGTGAGGTTCACATGGGCCCACCTCTCCAGCCTGTCAAGGTCCCTCTGGATGGCATCCCTTCCCTCCAGTGTGTCGACCGCACCACACAGCTTGGTGTTGTCAGCAAACTTGCTGAGGGTGCACTTCATCCCACTGTCCACGTTGCCGACAAAGATGTTAAACAGTTAAAATTTTGGTAAACTAAATATTTTGATAAAGGTAAATGTCAGAAGAGAAGATAAATGAGATATGTAGAACTTTACTATGGCCAGAGATTCTGTTTTGTATGTGGAATGTCAGTATGATACACCAGCATGTGCCGAAGTGTAAGGTTTTTAAGCTTTTACATAGGTGAGAAATCACGATTTTCCCCACCAGTGTGTTACCTGGTCAGTTGAATGCTACTGTTCTGCCCAGCTGCAATGGGAATTACTCTGTTAGCTTTAACTGCCTTCCTACTCTTCTGTGATGCGTTAAGCTAACAACAGATTGTGTTTTAAAAGTAAATCACTTTATAGTGTGATGATTTAAGTAATACTTTATGTCTCCAGGCCTTTTTCTATATTAGCATGCAGATATATTTTAATTGTTTTTCCTTTTGTTAATAGCTTGAATGAACTGGGAGGGAAGGTTTAAAAAGAACAAATGCAATGGGTATCTGTGAAATACTTGAATTTTGTTCCACGCTGAAGAGAAATGTTACAAGCCCCTTTAGCAGCTGTGTCAATACCAATTTTTCTGGTTCTTGAGTACAGAAATAAATTCAAATGCCATTGGTTAAATAATTCACATTTGGTTTAGGTGAAAAATAAGACCCGGTCTCTTTAGCAAGTGCAGTGGTTTCATTTAAGTGATTTAAAAATTGATCACATTGAACTGATTTGAGTGCATTAAAGGATTTCCAGTTATGTAATTAAATTGATATTTTAAATAGCTTTAAGTGTACTGTCCAGTTGGGAAGTATGCAAGTGTATTTTCAGGTAAAACTTTTTTGTTTGTTTTTGAGATAAATTACTGTATTGTGTTAAGAATGTAGTTACAGGCATATGACATTGAGTGGACGAATCATTTGGGACATACTGGAGGAAAGGCAAAAATGTTGAATCAGTGACATTCTGTTTTTCAGGCATATCAATTATTTTGATGTACATAGCAAACTGATACTTGTAGGAAAAAATATCTCAGAGCTGCAAAATTTTATCACAGATTATCTAGATAAAGAAAAGTGCAATTGCTGATGTTGTTATTTCATTGAAATAATTAGCCTGTGTTTTCAAATAACAGATTTTGGGGGCTTTTTTTGTCATATTGGATTGTTGAATTACTTTTTTTTCCCCCTAAGGAAAAAATTCAGTAACTATGTTTAATTTGCAGAGCACCAGAGATCATACTGGGATTGCCGTTTTGTGAAGCCATAGACATGTGGTCGTTAGGGTGTGTGATTGCAGAGCTGTTTCTTGGATGGCCACTGTACCCAGGAGCACTGGAATATGACCAGGTAGTAGAATAAATTTCACAAGCATATGCACACTTTATGCAACTTAGGAATTTCAGATCATTAAACCCAGGATTTCAAATGTTAATAACATCCTCTATTAAGTAGTATTTCTTGAAGACTATTTAGTGCTTTTAATTTAGTCTTATTGATTGTCCTAGAAACATAAATCCTGTTTCCAGACCAAACTGTATATTCTGCTGCTTTTCTGAATCAAAGTCAAGTTGTCCTTTTGGTTTTTTTCCCTATCTTGCGAAATAAATGTGGCCACTATCATTGCATTGTAATGTCTTACTTGCCATGAATGGGGTTGACTCTGGAATGTCTGTTCAGATGTCAGGATTAGTTGCCTTCTGAATAATTCCTGATGCTTTCTGGAAACTCAGCATAGCTCAGAGATTTGAGAGCCTATACTTCATGAGGAACGAGAATCAGCTGTCATAGTAATACTGTATACATGCAATGGTCAAGCTTGAAGCTGTGCCTTTGCTTTGTTGGAGTTTTCAACTACTGACACCATTGGCATTAGTGAGCTGACTTTAAAAAGAAAAGTTATTTCTAATGAAAGATTTTCCATTTAAAAACACTTAAAAGAGAGAAGTCTTATTTTTCTAGCATGATGTGGAAATTTGGAAGGAATGTAATCAGCATTCTGACTATCCCCACCTGGTTTTGAACTTCAAAGAAGTCTGAAGATTCCAGAAGTAACAACAGTGGCTTGTTACTGACTTCTACATCTTTGATTCAACATTCAGTTTAGGGGCAGTTCCTCCAACGTGTTGTTTAGGTTATTCAAATCCTGATCTTCATATAGTGGGCTTTTGGCTCCCTGTGCTTACAGATCAGACCTACTTTTCTAAAAATCCTTTTGTTAAAACCACTGTCAGGGGATATATTGATTTTTGTGTTGATTTTGGTAACATTTCATATTTCAGTTTCCTTCATTTACACAAAATTCAGTGTTTCACAGGTAGGAACTAAGCTATGAGTGGAACATGGGTTGAGGCCTCGATGCAGTTAGAAGACCTTTGTGCAGGGTATTGCTGTTAAAACAGAGGACAAGAGAGGAAACAACTAACAACCTTATAATTCATTATGTTCTTTAAGGAAAAAGCAAAGGCATTTGTTTTTGGAAAGAATCTATAATACTGTCTTAAAATTTTCCAAGAACTTGGCAAATTTATTTACCTCTTATTTTGAAAGAAACTGCAGGAGAAGATCTGGACTTTGAAAAAAAAAAAGTCCCAAAATACGTAATTTCCAGAATTACTTTTGCTTTTGACCCCGTACTTCTGTTAAGTAGCTGTTAAAAGGGATGGTGCTGTGGGTGAAGAAGGACCTGTAAGCCCAGTTCATGGTCTTCTGATCATGATCTCACATACAGGCAGATGCTGCTTCTGGATGTGGAATGTGGCTTTGAATCACATCTTCAGTCACTTACGATGCAGTAGAGATCTGAATGGTGGAGAATGCTGCCCAAGTCCCAATTCTTTCCTCAAATCAACTTGTGATTTGTCATGATGGCAGCAGCCCAGATTATTAACATGTGCCAACAGGCTTATGTAGCTGTGAGCCTCTGACTTTTATACAGAGAGCAGTAGCAGTGTAAAGCTCAATTTCATAATTATGAAGATGGTTTTTTCGGAATAATACTGAGTCTAATTTGAAAAGACAAGACTTTCTTTCTCCCACTGCGCTGCAGCCATCTTGTCACATACAAAACCCAGGCAGATTAAGGCCATTTCCTACAGTCCGCAGAGCACTACCTTCATAGTGCTTGTTGACTCAGCTTTTCTCAGTTTTAGAGAGCCAGGTCCTTATTACAGTGTATTCCTGTCACTTGTTTCTTGCTGTTGTAGGCCCAGGGCCAACATGGCTCGACCTCTAGCTACTGCCAGGCAGTGCAAGTAAACAGCATTGTCACCAGTGACATCCACCTTCCAAGGTGCTGTACTTCATGCAAAGGACTACATGGATTAGGGGTTAATCTTAATGCCCATAAGATTTTCTGTTTGCTTTACAAGTGAATATTGAGTTTAAAAGACATTTAGTCAGACATATCATTCGAGTTTTATCAGTTAATAACTCATCTAGCAACAATCAGGAAGCATCAGTTAATAACTCATCTAGGAACTTGTCTGATCTTCATGTCAGAGAAGTCATGGTGGAAGAGGAGCTGTAACCTCCTCTGCATCAGCAGAAAAAAACTGGTCTTTGTGCTCAAGCAGGTCTGCAACACTTGCTTCCGAGAAATTTGATTCAGGGTTTTCCTCAGTGTACATGAGTACAGCAGTTGCAGGAGATGGCTCCCAAAGAAATTCCTTTCCTCCTGCTATGTGGTTTGTGTCACTGAGTAAACAAACAGGCAAGGGCTTTGTGCTGCATTCGCCCCTGTCCCCCTGGCATGTGGCAACCAACATGCTAGGTCTTGAAAGGAAGCTCTTAGTTACTATATTCATTTGTGATTATATCCAGTAACAGCTGTACTTCTCAGTGGAAAATAGCCATGTCTTCTGAGCTTTAATACTCATTAAAACCAGGCACAGGTGCTTAACTGCTGAATTTTTTAATAAATGCATTGTCTTATCCCCCCTAATTTTGAAGACTTTTGTAATATGCTTAGAAATCAACTAAATGATCTAGAAAGAGTTCTGGTCAGAGTGGGATTTACTCCCTGATGTAGGGAATTATGGAGGATACCAAATACCAAAAGTTGGCCACATTGCGTTTGTTCCTCCCCACTTTGGCCTGTCACTTACCTTTCAGCAGAAGCCTCTCATGTCCCTTTCCTCTCTACTGCCCATCAGGTTCTCTCTCCTCAGGTGCTCCGAGCTCTCAAGTCCTCTGTCTTCCATTGAATTCATCTTATCTCCCAGTTTCTGTTTTGGTGTATTTCACTGTGCTCTCCTGCTGATTTTTTTTTTTCCCTCCCTTTCTTCCATCCTCCCTTATCCCCTGGCTGCTCCACCTTTTCCAGGGGCAGCAGTCCCTCTGTGGAGGTGTGAGGTGTGGGACCCTGCCCAATGCCCTTCAGCCCTTGCTCCCCTCAGACCTTCAGCCCTGGCTGCTAAATCTCCACTCCCTCCATCCCAACCTGCAGCAAGCTCGGTTTTTAATTATTGCCAGTTATTCTTCCAATTAGTCTTTTCTTGAAGGTGGAGTTTTTGATTTTAAAAGAAATATTACTTCTGGGATAACCCCCCCCCCCTTGTACAGTGAGTTAACGTTGCATGCACAGTAATTAAAAACACATCATAACATCTTGTTTTAACAGATTTCTATCGAAGCCTTGAATTTTAACTATCTTAGGTAATACTTTGTATCATCAACTAGAAGAAAGGTACTGAAAAATGCGTAGTAAATTGTCTTCTAAAATAAATGCATGTTAATAATTTCAGTGGAAGAGAGCATCTGACCATTTCAGGCATGAAGCTCGTCCATTCCCATCGCATTCAGTAGCAGATTTTCTGAGACAAGGACAGTATCTTTTGCTGGATGCCTAGAGTTTGTACGCGCGCTCCCTTTCCAAGCAGAACATTTGCTTGCAATGCAGGTGTGTCAGACATGTGAAAGACTGATACTCTGGAAACAGCAACGAAAGGGATTTTTATAGTGTTGTATAATGACAGTATGCTAGAAAAAAGTCACCAGACTTCTGTACGCAAGCAAAGCACCCCTACTAATTTTCCTGTTTAGAATGAAAATACTACATTTAGAATTGAATGGGTTGAGGAGGTAATGACAGCCACTCTCCCCAGCTCCTCATTTCTGTGACCAAACTTTAAATGCATGCTTATATAGGTCACTTCAGAGGTTTGTTTATGTAAGGCTTTCTCTGAGAAATGGAGAGGAGCAGTATCAAGTGCTCAGTGTTAGGTTTCTCTCCTATGTAAGATGTAGTTGTTGAACTAAGGTGCTCTGAGGGTCGTTCATTTTGCCATTTTTTAAAAGAAATGACAAGTTTTTAACTGTGTGGATCAGATTTTGAAAATCAGAGGTAAATTATTTCCCATGTTTTATTTTTCTTCCTCAGATTCGTTACATTTCACAGACTCAAGGTTTGCCAGGAGAGCAGTTGTTAAGCATGGGAACGAAGACTGCAAGATTTTTCTGTAGAGAGACGGATACACCATATTCTAGTTGGAGATTAAAGGTAAACAGTATAATATAGTAGAAAACAGTATATTATTTTTGTGAGCAGAGGGGCCAAGATTCACTATGATAATTGTTAGCTCCCTTCCACATCTCCTGTGATTTTTATCAGCCCTGCTGTGTATTGCTTCCATTTTTCCCATTCCCCAAAAACAGGGCTCCAAGCTTGTGCCCACGTTCCCTCCCCACCAGTGGACCCAGGGGCAGGTCTGGTGCAGCTACCAGGCTGTGTGGTGGCTTGGTGGCCAGTGCACGGCTTCCAGATGGAGAGCAAGCATTGAATTCTAATTAAGCCTTGTCTCTCCAGAGGTACTAAATGAGTTGGTTTGGTTTTTTTGGTCAGTCATTGCTTTTCACTTCACTTTAAAGAATTTGTCTCTGAGGCCCAGGCTGCTCTGTCAAAATTTGTTCAAAACGGGCTTCAGGACCAGCAGTTCCTAGGAGAAAGGGGATTAAGAAACAATATGACTGCGTACAGCTCATTACTTTCAGATCTCATGCTAAAACAGTCCTTGTTGACTGAAAGCTGCAGTACAATTAAAGCAGATGAAAGTAAAAAACTGTACTTTTTTTGGTCTGCACACCTTCCTTCTCTCTGAGCAACATTATAGCACACTGGCCTCAAGCAGAGCTTTAATTTCCTATGCAAATATTTTTGTTTTAAATTGTGCTACTTCGTGGCACTGCTTCACCAAATTTACTGAGGACTGGGGGAAGTCAGGAAACAGTTACAGTTACCATAAAACTGCAGTAACAAACAGTTGACGAGCTCAAAGCGTGAGTTGCGTAACTCTCCACAGTAATTTGGTAAATCCCCAGCGCGCGTTGGGCCAAGTGGCCGGGGCCAGTGCTGCCCTGCTGTAATGCTGCCGGCTCAGGTTATGTAAGGATTCCATGATTATACCATCCCGATTATTCCAGTTTTCTGGTTTTTCAGGTGGTTGATCATTAGGTGACAGTTTACATCTGGCTTCTTTGTATTGGAGAACCTAAATGAGTTCTTGATGCAAACAGCCCTCCTCATTTTCAGAAGCTGTTACCTTTCAGAGGTTAAATCTCTCACAGCAGACTAAATGCTGTTTTGGGGGAAGAAAGGAGTTTTTGTACGGACCGTTGGTCATTACTTGAATTTTTGGTCAAAGTTAATTTTGGAAATTTTTTTGTAATCTGTATGTTAAGAAATTTTTTTCCCTGCAGTCCTGCCTTGCCTCCTACAACATGGACTCTTAAAACAAAACCTGCCTCCTGGTGCTGTCTGTGTTTAAGGAGGAAAATTGTACCAGAAGGTGGTATTCCAGCTCATAAATCACTGATAGGTGATCGCATTCATTCTCTGGGTCTTAATTGTTTGTTTCGTACTTCAGTATTTAAAATACTTACACCAACTGTTGTGTATGCAAAGGAATAAAAGTATAAAAATAATGAAAGAAAAGAGAAAGTGAAGAGAAATTGAACACAACCTGCTTGGGGTTTGTTTGTTTGGGTTTTTATTATTTAGTTATTTACAGCGATATGATGTTGCTGCTTTTAGGAGTTAAAAGTCTGAGTTTGAGGAAATGTGTAAAATACAAGTAATAGAAAACCTGTGATATATAAAAATATAAGCACACGAGAGAGTTTCATTAAACAATGTTTTGCTAGGCTTTCAGCACATCCTGTGTGACTTACAAACCATCTATTGTAATCCAGTACCGTAATCGTGCAGATGTGAAAGTCAGTATTTTTTGTATTTCAATTTAGAAAATGACAGTAGTCAGCAAAGCAGCATACAAATATACAATCAAAATATTGGTTTTTTAAAAAACAGGTTTATTAGGCTGATAAATATGTAAAGTTACTTTGTAGCTGTAAGTGTCCATTATTATCAACTTCTATACTCAACTTTCCTTTTCTTTTTTTGAGACATTGGAAGAGCACGAGGCAGAGACAGGTATGAAGTCTAAAGAGGCCAGAAAGTATATTTTCAACAGTTTGGATGATATAGTGCATGTGAGTATTAAAGCATTTTTCCTTTGCAAAAGGAACATGTGATTTTAAACCATTTTACTAGTTTGAAATAAACACCTTTTAGAATATTATTTATTGTATATCAGTCATATCCATTATTCTCTGTATGTGTTACTCTGAGGAAATTGTCTAGCTATGTCAGTCCTCTGGGCTTTATAAAAAGATCTTCCTTTGTCATTGCTTGTGTTAAACAAAGATACTTGTCCTTGTGGTGGGGGGAACCCTTTAGTTTTATGTGTAATGTATGCTTTCTCTTCTACCTTGTCGTCTTTTCTGAGTAAATAATGAATGCGTATGGATCCTGCTATCTTAATTATATAATTTCCAATATAATTTTACTATCTTAACAATATGATTCTCAATATAATTATTTTTTCCTTTTATTAAACAAACCCCAACCTTAACTGTTTCTGGACTTTTCTTTGGATTTATAACTCTCTAGTCAATAATAAAAGGAAATTTTTTGTTCTTTTTCATATCCTGAAAAAAGAATCAACTCTTTTTGCAAGATTGGCATTAATACATGTTGGAAATTCTTTTTTGAAGACTGCCTCTGTAGTTTAAGTTAGACTATACAAAGATCTTTATCCCAAATCTTACTTTTTAAATTCCAAGACCCAGACTGGAATTAAAAGCCTTCAGGGATCTTTAGCTGGGGAGGGTCCAAGGGGAGCAGTGTGTGTGCAGAAAAAAGTCACCAATTCCAAGCGAACCGTACTGGGATAAGTTAACAAATTCACCATATGCCAAACAGCTGACAGTCAGCAGGGCATGATGCAGAACAATTGTCACCACATGATAAACTCATTGAATATTAGTATGTTACAGCAGAAGCAATAACAGAAAGAGTTAAACCAATATGCGTGTCTTCTGTCTGACTGTTTTGTTCAACGCCAGGTGAACATGGTGATGGATTTGGAAGGAAGTGACCTGTTGGCGGAGAAGGCAGATAGGAGAGAATTTGTCAGTCTGTTGAAGAAAATGTTGCTGATCGACGCTGATTTAAGAATCACTCCAGCTGAGACCCTGAACCATTCTTTTGTTACCATGAAGCACCTCCTTGATTTTCCTCATAGCAACCAGTATGTAACACACACAAATTATTTTTTTCAAATCTCCATTGCAGTTATTCATGTGTATAATAGTGTTGTTTCATCTGCTATCAGGGAGAAAAATCTTTTGTCATTTTTGTAATGTCTTAGAGAATTTTTTCAAGTGCTTATAATATTAGATACATCTGCTTGGTCAAGGAAACTGAATAACTACATTTTTTTTTTCTGAAAAGTAATATTTAGAGCTATAGATTTTGAAATTATCATTTATATGCCTGGTTGATAAAATTCCAACACTGCAGAAACGGGCTTGATTTTTGGAAGCATGCAGAGCCTTAGTTCCTGTCAGTCACTGAGAACCAGGGTCAGCATTTCCTCTTGAGACGAGGAATGGAGTGAAAGCATTTCACTGAAAGAAAGAGCTTTCCATCCATTTAGTTTACTATCCTTCCTGCTTGTATGCAGTTGTTAGAAAATAGTGTTAGATACAAGGAGCAGGAAATAGCGGTATTTTTCTTGATTTTAAAAATATGTATTACAAAGACTTGGCATGAACGTAGCAATAGTATTTCTTTTTTCTATGTCTGTGTATAATGCCATTCTGTGAAACTAGGAACTGTGGGCTTTGAACTATTTTTTTTTTCTTGTTCTGGGGAATTGTTTTATACATTTAACAACATTAAATACTAATTAAAGCAACTTATTTTCTGGTTTTGATAGAGTGAAGTCCTGTTTTCATATCATGGATGTTTGCAAATGCAGATCAAATTTGTATGACTTAAGTAATGGCAATAAAACATCACTTATGAGACCAGTTGCCTCAGGCAGTGCAGCTAATCTGACTGCGAGCTTTACCAAAATTGGTCCAGTAAGAAGTCAGGTAAACCCAATCTTTTTTTCATTATAAATTCTGTTAATGCAGTTTCTCAAATTAATTTCATAATTGAAAAAGTACATCTAGTAAGTGACAAAAATCTTCTTTTACTCTGATTTTTTTCCTAATGTTTTCTTTAAACCAACCAACCAACCAACCATTTAGAATTCAGTATGTTTCAAAATTAAGTTACAAACTGGTGTTGCCATAGCAAACGTATTGTAGTGTATTGTAGTGCCCTCCGGTGGCCAAACGGGATTGCTGCCCGTGAAATGTATTTGAAATTTTAATTTTTATAACTTACTGTAGTTGTTTATTATATAAGCTGGTGGGGCAAGTGTGTGAGAGATTTAGATTCACAGTCATAATGTTGCCTGTATTGAATCTGTTCCCATAGGCATTAACTGCATCTGCCCATTCAGTTTTGCACCAAGGGATACCATTGCAGGCAGGAACTGCTCAGTTTGGTTGCAGTGATGTTTTCCAACAGGCATTGATTATATGTCCTCCAACTATTCAAGGTATGTTTAACTGTAATTGTTACAGTTCCTGAAACATGAGCGTTACTGTCTGTCTGATAGCAGTGTTTGAGTTTTTCCTTATATCCACTTAAGCTATGTATTTAGAAGAAATTATGTCATAAAAAAATTAGTATGTGAGTCAGATCCAGATACATTGCACCCTTCTGAAAGAAATGGCAAATCGGCATCTGCAGAAATCCAGAGTCCATCTTCATATACCATACACGCACTTATGTATGTATACATATATATATATAATCTTGGATAAAACAGAGGGACACAATGTGGAAGCTGAAGCAAGAAAGGAGGGTATTCTGAAATAAAATCTGAGAGGAAACAAGAAAGATGAGAGGAGTATCAGTGTTGTGGTAGGTCTTGTGGTGGTGTGGGTTTTTTTGTTTCTTTTTTGGTGGTTGCATGGTTTGGGGTTTTTTTGTTTGTTGGTTTCGTTGTGGTGGTTTGCTTGGGTTTTTTGTTTGGGTGTTTTTTCGTTTTGTTGTTTTGTGTTTGGTTTTTTTCCCCCCTAACTACATCCCTAGGGTATCTTAGGGATAAGGATAAGAAAATATAACAGTTCTTGTGATAAATCTGGATAATAAAGTTGGGATTTTTTTAATTGGACTTCCAAGTGAATGTGTAAGAAAACATCTGGAAACTTGGGGCTTCATTTAAGGATGTAACTGCCCTACGTAAAATGTCACATTTACTATCCTGCAGTTATAATGCGAGACAGAACTGCTGCAGCTTTCTGATGGCTGAAAAACACATAAATAAATCTTTGAGAATGTTGTTTGCATCGTGCTGTGAGGAGGAAAGGGCAGCTTGGCTGAACTCCCCAGTATTACAAAGGATAAGATTGTTTTAAAAATACAATTTTGTATTTATGGAAAGAAATAATTGGCTGAGGGTTCAATTATCAGAAACATTTGGAAAACTGAGGTGGAACTAGCACAGAAGTATTTCCGCAGTGTAGAAAACCACCAAATAAGCATATGTGTCTTTAGGACACATGGTAATATAGTTGACCTCTGTTTCCCTAAACAAATGCATTTGCATCATGCAAACTTAGGTCTTATTTTTTTGGAGGAGTCTTTAAAACCTCATTTAGATCTCGGAACATATCAAGCATAACTTGTTTTTTCTGTTTATAATGGGCTGATCAGAGAGGAGCTGATGAAAACCAGCCTTTCTTATCCTAGTAATAGTCATTTAATGGAGAGGGAAAGGTAGTTTATATTGTTTGCTTATTAAGTTAACTTGATTATAGTCTTCATGTCCAAGCATGCAATTTATTTGTCTCTGTGATGGTTCAACTTTATGTTGAGATCAGATCTTGAAATGATGGAGTCTATAGGAAGCAGGTTTTTTTAAAAATTACTTTCAAACTCCTCCTTAATTCTCCCTCTGCAGTTTGAAGTTCTAGAAATCACACTAGATTCACTCTGGAAAAAAAAAAACCCTAAACCAACCAAACAAACCCAAAAATCAACCCAACCCAAAACACTTTTAACCAAAGCTTAGAGCCCAGGAAGTCTTTATCTCTTTAGATAAAGACAGATACGGAAGACTATCAGTAACGTTGTTTGTGGCTGTTGGATCCACCCTGAGTTCCAGAACTCGTGAAAGTTCCGAGTATTTAGAGTGTCAGAGGCTATATGAGCTAAATGCATAGCTTCGTACAGATTTCCTTCTGAGCACTTAGTATGGTTGAGTAATTTCTTATTTAAATTGCATATAGGCTTTACACAATGACATATTCCACAATTTAAAAGCCTACTATTTTCATTATACCCAGATGAATACAGTAGTTATAGAAAAGGAAAAGATACAGGCAAATACTTTATCTGTGATCTGTATACTGTATTCTTAGTATGATGATAACTTTCCAAATTTAAATTCTGCTACAGCTTGAATGAAGGGAGTATATTGTTTTCATCACATAGGTGACAAGTTGAGTTGCTGGTATGGAGGGAAAG